TCAACAACCCCAAGGGCGGTCGTACTTATCCTCTTGAGGGAACTGGTGTTCTTCTTCCCCAGCACGCTCCCTACACTGACCCGCTTGGCGTTCTCATCTGCGGTGGTTCTACCGAGGGCCCTGCTACTGCCATGGACAACTGCGTTTCCATTGAGCCCGAAGGCACCAACCCTAAGTGGGTGATTGAGCGTATGCCCTCGCGTCGTGTCATGTCCTGCATTGCCCCCCTTCCTGATGGAACTTACCTCATCAACAACGGTGCTCAGCACGGTGTTGCTGGGTTCGGTCTCGCCAACGACCCCAACCTCAATGCTCTTCTGTACGACCCCTCGAAGAAGATTGGCCAGCGCATCACAGTCATGGCCAACACCACCATTGCCCGCCTTTACCACTCCGAGTCCATCACTCTTCTTGACGGTCGCGTTCTCGTCAGTGGTTCTGACCCCGAAGATGGCGTCAACCCCCAGGAGTACCGTGTCGAGGTCTTCAAGCCTCCTTACCTCACCTCCGGCAAGACTCGCCCTACCTTCACCATCGCCAACACGGACTGGACCTACGGCCAGCAGATCTCTGTCAGCCTTGGTCACGCCCCCCTTCACGGCGACATCACGGTCTCCCTCCTCGGTGCTGTGGGATCGACGCACGGTAACTCAATGGGTGCTCGCACTCTCTTCCCCGCTGTCACTTGCGGGCCTACCACCTGCACCGTCACAGCACCTCCCAACGCCGGTATCGCCCCTCCGGGCTGGTACCAGTTCTTCGTCCTCGACGGCGGCATTCCCGCTGTCGGTGTCTATGTCCGCATCGGTGGCGATCCCGCCAGCCTGGGCAACTGGCCCCAAGTCTCCGGCTTCAAGGTGCCTGGTGTCTAAAAGCCACATCTTTCCAACATTCAAAGCGTCATTATTCCCAACTAGACTTGAGCTTTGTGTCCCAGGAGCTCTTTTCATTTTACCTGACTATTTTCACAAGCGATATCCCAAACTTTCTCTTCTTCTCTCCTTCTCTCGGGCATCTTCTTTCTTTTAGACCTAGGGATAAAAACACATGTCTGATCACATACAGACACACACACAGTCAATATGGCGAAATATGATTTGGGAGTTTATTTTTCGTTATTCAAAGGGAATACAGATACTCATGACGATGTCCATCAAGGACTTGGGTAAATCTCCTGCATTGACGAGGCCACACTTGGCATTTCTGCAGACTAGTTTTAGTATATAATTATAATCATTTAAAATTCACCATCGTGTGGCACCCCGTTGGATGTGATGTGCTCTCGTAACTTTGTTCCCAGGCTACAAAGTGCACAAAGTGTGGCATCCATCAAATGCAACCTTGATAGAAGTTCTGTAAGGAATGAGCTGCTATTGAGGCTGAATCTGGCCCGAATCTTGCAAGCTAGGCATTGAGTTAGACCCCTCCAACTCCTGCTAGGCTAGTCTGAGGACTTAGTGCTACGTTATTTTGGTCAAACGGAGCGTTTATCGGAGCAAAACCCCTACGGACGAGGAAGATCAACTCACCGCTACTCACCGCACAAGGAAAAGACCTGAACGACCGAATCCCGAAAAGTATCCCCGTCCTGCATACTATAGCGAGTTACATGGAGAGGAACTGATAGACTCACCATCTCTAGATTGAGTCTCGATTCTCTTTCCTTCATGCATGTCTTCGGATCTGACAAAGACTCCCATGTACGTAGTATGATTCCGTCAACAAGAATTGTGGAAACGGATACTCCATAAGAGGGCCCCCCGTCTTCCTTTCTCCACCCAATGGATTTTCCCCCGGTTTCCTTCCCTGTGTCTGCATTTGAGGTTACAGCGGTGAATGGAGAAGGGAAACAATGATTCCAAAAGATGACAAAAAAATTCCCAAAGCAGGGATCGACGTATTACATACATGGCTCGTACATCCGTACATCCAGCCGGCTAGCCAAGTTTCGTCTTCGCTGTTTCCAGACGGTCTGAGACAATGTGGAGATATTTCGGTTTTTGACGTACCGTTTGGAATACACTACTTGGTAAAGTCGGTAGACGCGTCTGAGAGCTGGGCGAGGAGTTCGGTGTGAGGAGGCGGAAGACAGGGAGAGGTACGGATACATTGTGTAAGGTACAGACAGGAAGATTCCACATGCATTGCATACATCTCCACCTTCTCACATGAGGAGCAGTCAGCCCGCCTGCCCGCCCAATCATGGTGAAGCTTGGCAAGCGCCCCGTTGACAAACCGTTTGACTTCACTTCGTCTCTTACATTTTTTTGGACTAAATGATCTTTGAGAACCGACGTTTACCGGAGGGTATAGGTCAGGGACCTCTATCTTTTTTTTCTTCCCTCAGGGGTCAGTCAGAGTCAACATGCAAATGAGGCCACTTTGCCCCTGCTGGCCAGCTCCGTACCAGACGATGGGTAGGTGTACTTATACGAGGCTCTGGATATGTGTAGAGTAAACTTGAGACTCTCTCTTGCACGAATTGAAGGCTTGCTTAATTGATATGTAGTCTTTGTGAAGTTCCCTGCTTTCTAGGGGACCATGGTTCTCTGTGCAGTTGCTATGTATCTCATCCATGATCTGTCTTCAGTCTAGAGATGCAAAATATGCGGCCTAAATCCCCTTCTCTCCCTTTTGTAAAAGTCGTGAAACCATCGTAAATTCATCAGTCGCCTCGGCGCAGTAGACGATATGCAATCCACACCTCGCAGCACTCTCAAGAAAGCCTTCCCACTCCCGCAGTCAAAATGCCAGGTCATGGGGGTGAATGCCTCCTCTCAACCCTCACCTTCAAGCCGTAATCTGCTGCGCACCATACACCATACCCCCAGCATGCACACCAGCCCCCTCATCAACATCCATCTCCCACTCCAGCTCCGGAACGCCCACCTGCTCCATAACCCTCGCCACCACACTCTCAAACGCATCCCGCTCAATGATGGCCCCAAAGTGAATACAATCCACCACCCCGCAAAACTCCCTCTTGAGCGCCTCAATCACGTTTCCGCGCATCAGCGCCGCGGCCCCGTACCGCGCCGCGAGCTCGAACCACGCCTGCACGGGTGTGAGCTCGATGTCGCCCGGGTTCAGCGTCTTGGCGAGGGCCAGCAGGGACTTCAGAGATAGAGAGGATCCCGCGCCGGTGTCGGCTTGCCATGTGTGCGAGACGGTGGAGGCCTCGCCGCGGCGGATGGTGCGATAGACGCGGGCGGGGGCGGAGGACATGCAGAGGGTCGAGGCCATCATTGTGTGGCCCGAGGCGGCCTTGCAGGTGTCGCCGTGGGCGGGGAATTGGCGAGGGTGGAAGTGGTTCCAGCAGATGTGTTCCATGCTGTGTGTAAAGAGAGGTTAGTTAGTAAAATTACAGCGACGATGATTGCTGGGGGCGGGGGGTTTGTGGCAACATACGCCAGAATGAGGTTGATGGCAATGATCTCCTGTTCCGCAGACAGCTGATCTGCTGACGGCGGCTGGGACTGGGTATATGTGATCGCGGCCGACGGCGACGAGATCTGGAAGCACGGCGTGCCGAGGGCGTCGTCCTTGCGCATCGTGACTGTGACCTCGCCCATGTTGACGTCCGCAAAGAGGTCGACCGGCGGGTACGGGTCGTAGTCCAGCGTCTGAGGTTGATATGCCACCACCTGGGATTCTTCGCCCTGGGGAGCAGCCGCCGAGTACTGTGCTTGTTGGTCCTCTGACTGCTGGGAAAGTTGTCGTTGTGCCGGGACGGCAGGTAATTGCTGCTGCTGCTGTTGCTGCTGGACCACCGCCGGCGCCATCGACACTCCTTCCGGCACCGCCACGGGCTCCTGCGACCCGCGGATCCGCACTTCGCTGACGACGACGCTCTCGCCCTTTGCGCTTTCAGAAGGTACCGCGAATCCTCTTGCGGTGAGGGCGCCCCTCATGTTCTCGTTCTCGCGGCGGAAGGCGAGGACCTCCTTCTCGGCGGCGGCGATCATATCCCTGAACTTGCAGACGTCGAGCTCGAGCTGCTTGATGTAGTTGGCCTTGCGGGTGCGGTGCTGGATCTGGGCCTTGCGGACCTGCTGGCGGCGAAGCTTGGCCTTCTCTTTGGCCTTTTCTGCGGACGTGAGGCCGGGTGTTGTTGATTCTGCTGGAGTTGGGGGTTGGACTATATTAGTTCTCTAGTCTGATCTGGAGTTGCATGGTTTTTCTCAGGTGATGGGTTTCCCACGTGGGAGAAAGAGATAGGGAGGGAAAGAGTATATAAGCATATGAGAATGGGAGCCAAGGCGGGAGCTTGGACGTAGACATGAGGAATCCGGGAATGTAGATGATCGTAAAGGTGGCATGGGTATTTCGTACATGGGTACAGGTGTGGATGTAAGTGAAGTGAGGGTGGTTAAGGTACGGGTAGGATAGTCTCCTAACAGAGAATGGATGATTCCAGGAGCCAAGCCTCGTCTAGACGTGATTCGCGGGGGTCCATGACCAGCGGTGTGTGCCGCATCGGGCAACCGTCGAGCCGGGAGACGTTGGAATCAGGTCGGGAAGGAGAGATGCCAGGACACCAGCTCTCATCCCCCGGCATTGCTCGTGCGGCTTTGCCAGAAACCAACATGGAAAACGTGGTTCATTGGGTAATGGCCCATGGGCATAGCTAGTTTGGTAGGGCAGGCCGAGCAAGCAAGCAAGCAAGCAGCGGTTGTGGTCGGTTCGCGGATCCCCCGAATCCACCACACCAACTTCGGACTTCTTAGCGGCGGGAAGGGGTCTAACGCCACAAGAGGGTTCGGGTGTGATGTGGGTGGCATGATGATGAGGAATCATGAGGAATCCGGCATGGGGTTGACATAGCATAACTCACAAAGCCCATCCCCATCCCTATTCTCATCCTACCATCCACCACTTCTGGATCATGGATTGTCGGCTTCTGGTCCCCTTCATCCCCATGTATTTCTCTCTGAGACATCCATGGACACTGATTATGGGGAAGGTGACCGGTTCCACACAAGGTCACTGAAACCACCAACATGATGGATGCGATTCACCAGGACCCTGGCGGTGCACTCGTCGATCGGGGACGGGGACGGGCGGGCGAACGGGCGGGCCACGATGTTACAGGGAAGGACAGGTATGGAACACCAAAAAACAAGCAACGAAGGTGTGTGGAATCATGAAGGCCGAGAAAGGGAGGTGGATATGTGAATCAAAAACGGGCGGGAGGAGAATAGGAAAATAAAAATAAGAAATGGGACGAGCGCATGTGGAATCAAAGATAAGACGGGATGAAGGGAAAGACAACTCCTGACACTTGTCATCGCAACTTTGCAATACACAAAATTTTACAAAACCGAAAGTCATCAGGATGAAGAAAACAACACAAAATACTCACGAGAACCCTGCAGTTCCTGATCTCCTCCTCCCGACACCTGCTGCGATTGGTGATCCAACGGCGACGACGACGATTGATGATGGTAAGGCGGCCCCTCGTTCACGAACTGCACCCTCCCAGCCCTTTCGCTCTCCTTCTCTTCTCTCCAGTACTCCTCGAAGCCGGCTCGACTGTCGCCGCTCGTTGACCTGTCATATTGCTGCCGTTGCTGCTGCTGCTGGCCTTGGTGTTGGCTGAGGTGCTGCCCCTCCCCCGCCCTCACCGAAGCCTCGTGCTGCAGCCGCACCTGATTGTCCGCCATTACCGCGACACGCCGTGAATTGCAATTGAGATGAGCTGGGCGCTGCAACTTCACCGCCGACGATGGGAGGTGTGTGGTGTCGGTCGGCGTTCTGTGGTGGATTGGTGAGATGTGAGTGAGTGAGTGCGTGAGGTGAGTTGAGTGATGAGATGAGAGGTGCGATGAGCGGGGTGACGTTTGGCGTCGATGACTTCCGATTGATCGATCGCTCACCAAAAAAAGTGTCGTCACGTTTTTTCCCTCTCTCGTTTGCAGATAATTAGGTGGAAATGTTCCCACCGGTTCGGAGCGGAGTTTCAAAACTATGGGAAGGGGCAGCCCGTGAGGGGATTTCGTCCGCCTTAAAGATGGGCGAATTCCAAATTCCCATGGGCGCCTTTTTCTTTTCTTCTGCCCGCCTTCGGGGGGGAGAGGAGACCCTCATTCTCCTCCTCTTCATCAGCGCACCTCCGCAAGAGCAGGAGGAAAGGGCCCAGAGAATGGAAATAGAGAGAGCGCCAGAGCCAGCTAAACTTCCTCGCTGTTGGCAGGGACCGCCAGAGCGCCGCAGCGTACGGAGTACAGCACTACCTACCTACACCGCACAGGAAATCGCCCCTCCTCCCAGGGGTTCTCAGGGATTCTGGGGCTTGTTCGTCCGTCTGCCGGGCGGCACAGTGGCATGCCAAGGGAACTAACCGACAGGCCTGAGGGGAGAGGGAAGCGAGGTGAGGGACGGCGCTTATCCAATTGAGGGACAAGTGGCCGATCACCTCACGTGCCTGGCGCCTAACACCGTTCCATTTTACCGTGGGGGAGGGAGGCAGTGTCACCTCAGCTGCAATCTCGATAGAATCTAAGAATTTGAGTTACCTTGATAAGATCTTACTCAGGTACTGCACATCCATCCATCCCTTTGCGTCTTTTCAAATCAGATTCAAATTGGTGCAACGATTTGTCACCGATGAGGGAGGGCAGCGAGAAACGAAAGGAATGGTAGCGGCTGAAAAGCTGAAGCGCTGAGAAACAAGTCTTGACAATGATTTGGTTTTCATTGTACTGGCAGCGACCTTGTTGTGGGTTGACGAAAGCTAGGTATCTCTTTCTCATCTTTCTCACACCCACTATTCGTAGAGCGGTTCAGAAGTTTTGTTTCTTTAACATCTTCGACATGGTCTGCTTCCAGAAATCTTTCCACCACTTTCCAACATCTCAAATCTCTTCGTCGTCTTCTTCACCCCCAAACGCCTTGCGGGAATCATGTAATCAATGCCAAATTGGCCCAAATTCGCTTTTACTTTTTTGTGACCACCCAACGCCGTATGAATGCATTTGATCTGCCCCGCCTCTCTCACGGAACCCGCTTCAGTCGTCGTCTTCGTCCTCGCTGGCGGTAGCAGTGTCTTCCTCAACGTCTGTCTCCGGAACGTTCTCCTCGTCGTCGTCTTCGCTGTCACTGTCGGCCGTCATATTAAGACCCGGGATAGCCTGGTAGTGTACGTAATCGTTCTGGACCCACCGCTTGCTCACGGGCAGCTGGTAAGGGTCGAACGGGAAATAGGGGTCAAGCTGGTATGCTTCCTCGTCTTGCGCTCCCGAGCCCGTATCTCGGAGTGCGCCGCCTGTGCCGTAGGTGTCTGATACAAATTGTGACAGTCTGATCCGCTTGTTCTCCTCGACACGCGGGAAGATGTACATGAGACCGAGTTTGTGTGATAGTGTCGCAAACTCCTCGACAATAGCCGGTGCGCAGATCTTGAGAGGATTCATCTTGCAGTATACGCTGGCAGAGAGCTCTTCTCTCATCCCTTGCATCCATTCCAGCTCGTGACCAAGATATGATGCGGGGTCCTCTGGGTCGACAAATTCTGGTGTGGACACAATCAAGTCGCGCCAGCGGAAGCAGAACATGTACAGCGCGGCCTGTACTTGTGCGTAGTAGATCTGATGTCTTCTCAGATCTGGTCCTCGGGCGTCCGCGTCGTGCTTGAGGCGGTAGATTTGCATCTGCTTGAGCAACAGCGCAAAGACTGTGCGCACCAAGTCAGACGGCACGTGGGCGCCTCGCGCCATGAATCCGGCAAGGTATGTTGCCGCTGCTTGACGAACAAAGCTCGGTCGGTTTTGCGAACCAAAAATGTGCATCAAACTGCCGACAAAGGTGTCGCGCAGGCGAGCTGACATTTGGCCAAAGTGGAAAAGGAGGAACTGGGTATGACGGGACTTGTACGTTGGCAGCACGATTTTTCCAAATGACTGTACGAGCAAGGCATATCGCTCCCATGCTTGATCCGAATCGGGATTTTCGAAGAGGGGTGTGTAGTGGGCGAACAGCGTATCGAGGATAGCATCCAGCTTTTCAACGTTGCCCTTGACCACGCGAATCTTTTCTTCATTGTCATCAAAGTCGGAATCATCGCTGTCGACGGACTCGTCATCGCTGTCTTCGTCCGAAGCTTCCTCATCGCCCTCCCATGAGCCGGTATCCAATGACTTGCTGAGCGCGTAGGCAACTGACGCCGTAAGGTCGTCGTCGAGGTCGTCGAGATCCGTCTGCATCTGGACATCAATCTTAACCAGTCGTGACAGCAGCACGTCGACAATTTCGAGGTCCAAATCTCCCGCGTATTCCTTCAACCTCAGAAGGTTGTTGACGTAGGCAACGAACATTTTTTTCGGGTCGTCATCGAAGGGAAACTTGGTTTCGAGGAGGCCGCGGAGAACAGGTGTGGCGGCGGGAAACATTTGAAGAATGTACTGAAGGCCGGTGTGTAGCCTTTCGCGCATCGTTGCTCGGCTGACGGTAGGAAAATCGGCGACGCTCCACTCTGATTGTCTAGAGTGAGAGAACTTTTCGACGATCATGGACAAGACATGCGTCAGATAGGATCCCTGGGCACTGACGAGAGCGGCCAGGAACTGGATGTACACCTTGAAGAAGTCCTCGTCGCGGCCCAACCACGAGACCTGCAAGACGGTCTTCACGAGGCCATTGCAAGCCTTGTTCTTCAGCAGCGGCACGCAGCTGGTCAGCGCCAGAACGTAGCCCTTGAGCTCTTGGGGCTTGAGCGTATCCTCATCTTCTCCGGCGACGGGTGGCAGGTATCGCTGCTTGTCGTTGGCGAAAATCTCCTTGAGCATGTCGTAGTCCTCGTCCTCGCCCATGAGGTGCTCCTCCAGTGCCTTCCTCACTTCCAAGTTGACCTCGTCCATTGAGCGACTGCCAAACTCGAAGACGCGGTTTTTCATTTCGTTGATGAGGACTTTCCGCCTCTTTGTCGGGCTCGAGGGCGGGTCATCGAACTCGATTTCGTCAGCTTTCCTCCGGCCGAGGACTGTCGTTTGACGCAAGATGCTTTTTATGGGCGTCGCCGTTCTCGGTGGTGGACCAGACCGGTGTCTGGAGATGGGGGTGAAAGGACGCATGAGAATGGGTTGTTTGTGGTGGCCGAGGCTCTGTGCTCTCGCCCTCGTCTTCCCTCTCTTTCTTCCGGCGGCTCAGGCTCGAGGTCAGATCTTCACAGTGGTCGGCGGCTGGCAATTCTCATTGAAGGGTCAACGTGTGGCGCGAGGATCTGCAGGGAAAGTCGTTATGCATGTCTCGCTCTCTTGCGACAATGTGGAATCGTTTCGAATTATTGTCCTCGAAAGAACGTTTTGGTTTCTGGACGTTGTTATGTCGGCCGACCGAAATTATTTCGTGGTACGGTGGCGGGTGGTTGCCTGGTAAAGTTTCTAGTTCGGCGTGAGCTGCCGCCGACGCTTTTTTTCGTCGAGTGGGCTGCCCGCCGTTCTGTTTGGCTGCGAAGGGGGGAAAATTTTGAGACTGGAGGGGCTGCGCACGTGCCTCGTTCAACATGGACTTGGGCTGGTAGGCTGCCCCCAGGCTCAGTCTTTCAGAGCACTCAAGACCCCTGGAATTTGTCTGGACCGTGCACTCTCGGTAATGGAACAATGACGGGAGCTTGGTGGAATCTAAGTGGCGGCCAAGATACTGGGGAACCTTGAAGCCTATGACGACGTCCTTTGAGCTTCTTATTGGATATCTATTTCAACATACCTTGGATGCCTACTTTACACACCTCACGGTATGAAGAAGTTGGATGATCAAGGCAGCCAGCAGCTATAGCCTGACCGCGCTGCACAAGATCAAACATTAGATGACAATGGAGCCCATGTGCCTCGTTCGTTTGCGCGACGGAAGTGGAATAACAAGCTATCTGAAGTGCTGTAGCTACCAGTGCTTTGGAGATACGGCCCGGGTCCGTTTCCAAAAGCTTCGATGCTTGCTGAACTGCTCTCTGCCGATGCTTCAAAACCACTGATTGGTTGAGCATGGCTTACTGAATCGCAACGCCATTGGGGGGAATCTATCAAATAGACAATTGAGTCAAAGAAAAGACGAACCCCCTCCACTCCACACTTTTGGGTTAACCGTTCCGCTCCCCTTCCCATAACTGACTCCTGAGGCCCTCATATACAACCATGTGCCCCGTTTCCATCCATGGCCAGGTAGTCTGAGACCCCCTGCCTCCGTACTTATACAGACTTGAACAAATGTCCAGGCGTCCTTCATTCGTCGGGCTTGGTCGTCGTCAAGTCGCAACTAGTACATATATGTCGAGATGGGGGAAAAAAAAAAAGATAAAATCGCCCTTTCAAAACACTATCCAGTCGGCTCAGGTGTGAATCACATTACTGGTAGCCGTCGGCACCGCCGGTACCATTGTGCCCTGTCTGCGCGCCGTACATGTAGCCCTGAGCGTCGGCGGTGCCATCTCCTTGCTGGCCTCCGAGGACGCTGTTTTGTGGCTCGGCTTGGAAACTTCCTGCTCCGGTTGGCGGGTTGGCGCCGTAGCCACTGCTGCCTGGACGGTGGGAGGTTTCTCCCCTGTTGGACTGGGATTGCTGCTGGAATCGTCAGTTGAGCTCATTAGTCCTGTTTAGAAGTTGATGACGGCAGAGTTCTGAGTGAGCCGAAATGTAGACTATACATACTTCTCTGTATTTCGAGAGGTAGATCTTGAGGGCCTCTGCGTAATTCTCGAACCCCAAAGAAGTCATGGCGAATAGAATGTCTTCTCCGTTAACCGTCTTTCTCTTCTCCTGATGACACTTCTCCGAGGCTGTGATAGGTCAGATATCTCTTCAGTCTCGTTGCCCCTAAACTCGGGGAGAGCAGCGGTTAGGAATTGCACTTACCCTCACTCGTGATGAACGAGATGAACTCGCTGACGCATTCCTGCATGCATTCTTTCGCTTCCTTGGCGATCTTTGCGTTTTCAGGGAGCGCATTCTTCATGATGCGGGCGACTGGAGCAAAGTTTCGTATATTAGCGTCAAGTTCATCGTACTTCTCGCCGCCGGAAGCACCTGTTATTTCTGGCGACTTTGGTGACGATTCGTGAGACATTGATCCCTTCTAGCCCTGCGCTGCCGTCTATGGTGATGTTTTGGTCGACTATTTCGCAACCAACGTCAAAGAACAGCGAGTGGAAGCGGAGAGCAAGCAAGCAGACCGGCCAATCCAATTCACAGACCATAGTCATAGCAACCGCAAGCAAACACAAAGCCTCAGGTCAAGCATCGTCGTCGTCGTAGTTGTCGCCGGCTTCTTGATTTCGTTGGGGAAGGGGATCTGGCTTACCATTGGCTATGGGCAACCAGCGGTCCTGCTCCTTGACCTCGAACTCATAGGTGAGTCCACCGGACTGTGGGTCTTGAGCCTCGTTCATTTGTTCCTCTTCCGGTGATTGTACACCTTGGTCGACATCCTTGGGAGGAGATTGGGGGGAGTCCGACATATTTGGCTACCTGCAGCGGCTGCTGGCGTTCTTGTAATTTGCTTGGGCTCTTGCAGCTCGCACACACGACGGGCTTAGGATGATGTGTTCCCTGACACGTTGCAGGTCCGTAGGGCTTGCAAGTCTGGCGGCTTAGCTGCAGAAAGTGTGCGTCAATCCTGTCCTGGGCTGTCCTGGAAAGGATTACTTTTACTCGCGATCCCCTGGCAGGCCCTGTCTTGACTTCAGGCTATGACGGATCTTCCTGGGGTGGCCTGTATGCTGCCTTGCCCGAGTTGAGTTTGGCGACAGAGACTTGAAAAAAAGCGGGATGAGGGTGGCTGCGTTTGCGGGTCCCACAGGAATGGCCAACGTCTAGTCCAAGGAGAGGGTAGCGTCGAACTGGCAAAGACGTTTCTCGATCGCCCTGCTGCAGCTGTGGATATGCGCAGTCCTCCGGGTTGGTGCTCGAAGCTCGGCGCGGGTTTGACCTGTAAGGCGGAAGGTAGATGGGGTTTGCGAGTCGCGATGGGGGTGGGTGAAGTTGGGTCGAATCAGGTATCCCCAAGGCGAAGAGAGGTAAGGTACTTGTGTGAGCTTTTCGGGGCGGAGGTGCGGAGCGCTGCGTCGAAGAGGCGCGTGGGCAGCCGGTCCGTTGCTGGTACAGTACGGATTTTCGCGTGTCGTTGAGACTTTTGGCGGAGCTTTGGGCGCGCAAAGAGTCGACCTATGGTTACACACCGGTCGACCGGACGGGAAAGCCGTGATAGGGGAATCAAAAGGTAACAGCTGCAAAAGCGCGTCAGAGAAAAGCTTCGCTTGACCCGAACAGGACGGAGAGTGAGAGAGAGGGACGGGAAACGGGGCGTGAGAGGAGTGGGAAGAGGCCGAGCAGTGAAGGACCTAAGCACTCAACGCGCGCGTTGTGTGTGGTTGTGTGTGCGTGTGGTGTGTGTGGTTGGGGGGAAACATGGGAGAGGGGCCAGCAAGTGCCGTCGACAAGGGGTTGTAGAATTCTTTTCCTTACATGAATTTGGGGTGTCTGAGTTGTTCGATCGAGGTCGTAGTAGACCCTAACAATGCGCCTTGAATGGAGGATACACCTGTACTTGTTGATGGCTGCAAGAGCGTGGGGTTGGTGCAGAAGGGAGAAATGGAGGGAAAGTAGGCAATGAAGGTGCGGTCAACAAGAGGCCGGCGCATTAAACACAATAACAAGGCCAAAGTCCCTCAAAGTCGCGCTGCCCACCAGCCGTTTTATCGATAACGTGATGAGTACTTCTGAAATGTATTCATTCAACACCAACTTTGCAAGTATCTGTCAGCTCCATGTTGTCCTCCAAGGTTTAGCGTGGTACCTGGATCCCCCATACATCTGATCCTCTTCCCTAACACCACGCGGCTGAGGGGATGCGCTCCGAACCTGGAAGCTGCGACTGCTTTTCGCATACTCCATTTTATTTACGGTTTACCAAGCTCACGCGCTCGGATGTCAGTTTGGGCGTCTGTCAGTCTGACGACATCTTCGACCCTGCAAAACCCCCCGTCAGACCACGAGGCATCCGAGATCAAAGATCAAAACTACCCTCCGGAAGCTAAGAATCCGTCGCCTACCAGCACCACCACGGGATCGACTAAAGTTACAAGAAAGGCAGCTCATATTTACCTCTCCCATCCCTTCCGATACTCCTGCCTAGTAAAATTTGATGTGTCATTGCATGCATTCATGCTGTATCAACACGGACGCTGGTCATCCTGCCCGTCCTCCCGTATATGAGCGGTGTACGGATGGGCTGCGCAAAGCCACTTCACTAAGCTCAGAGGAGGGTAGCAAGCACAGCTACCTTGCCTTTCACCGGCCCATGGCGGACGCCAAGCGGGTGCATGAAGCACAACCGACATAACGGGACGGAAGTATGATGTGAGCTTCTGTTCTTGCAAGTCTGCTGATGATACCTTTGATCTTGAGGTGGGGAAACCAAAGACGTCCGCTCAAGAGCATCGGTAAGCTCTATCGCGCGGGCCCATGCCCATCGCCCTCAACAGGTGTCATCAAAGAGAAAGATGCAGCTGGCGCAATACGATAGTTACTTATACCGATGTGGATTCATCGGCCGTGCGACTTGTGGCAGTTTGGGTAGCTCATCCGTTGCGACAAGACCGAGTGGGAGGGCGAGGGCGCCGGCTGATTTGACAATGGCACCGTCTGGAGTAAACAAGCCGTCGAACCTGTTAGCTGTCTTTCTCAACATCGCCCCCAACCAGACCGTGTCAGGCACGAGAAGGCTGACGGCAGCCTAAGCAAGCGCCCTGGATGACGACCGCTTGGGCCGAAACGTGCACCTTGGTTGGCTCGTACAGCTACTTTCCTCTTCGGGCGGGATAACTCTGAAGAGGGGCCTCTTGAATGGGCCATTCGAGATACACGCACACAAGGCTGCGCAACATGACGTCCAATGATGTCTCTTTCGCTTCGCAAGAGACGAGAGAGAGCCCGGTTGACGTTGGTTGCCCTGGGTACACCAGCCAGACGTGCGACTCAACTACCACCTTTAGGAGGAAGAAAGTCGCGGAGAAATTCTTCCAATCTGTCTCAAGGAGGCGCCGGTCACCAATCGGCGGCCCATCGCCTTACAGTACGCCCGACCCTGCATGCAGCGCTGCAACAGACAACCGCCAACTCAGCCAGTCACCCTCATCGAAGTTGGGCTCCTCTGCTCTGTCGGGAGCCAATAACCCTTTATTTGGATTGGGCTCGGATTGGACGATGCCTGCCGCGACAAAAATGGAGGACCACCACCAAAAACTCCTGCGATGCAGTGATGCGCTGACCTTCCACTCTTGTTTTCCACGACCCTAGTCCGGATGATGCGGTTCCTACCCCTCCTTTTCCCACTCATCATGGCGAGAGGGGTACGCAGTATGTATACCGTATCAGTATCCGTTCGCACTTCGGCCTTCCCTCGCCGTTGCGGGTGATTTCATGTCACAGGCGAAAGGGTTGCATGTGTTGGCTGCACTGCTTCTCACCCCAGAGCTGGTGACAACTCAGAGCCACATTTTGTGTCAACCCTGGTCTCTCACAGCAGCGCCGAGGGGTACCGGTCTGGTCTCTCTGCGTGAGCCATCAAGCTGTTTAACTGCCCGACGCCAGCATCGGGGAATCGGGCAATGTCGTCGCTGTATCAATTTCGACTGTCAAGTCCTGCGCCCTGTCTACAACTCAATATGACCATTCCTCGACATCATCCGAGGCCTGGGTACGGCCATGCATTACTAGGTCTAGGCGGTCGTCAATAACCCACTGCTTGTCTCCGCGACCATATCCGTATTTGGTAGTCCATGATGTTGCCAACCCACTTACTGAATGCGATTTCGTACTTGTACCTACAGGATGCATGCGACTATGAGGAAACTCCATGGAAGAGCGAGGCGGACCTAGACCACTGGTTGCCTCCCGCATCTACTTAGCCCGCGGCTGACCACGGATCAGGGCCAAATCGTGCCGCTCGTTGGGCATTAGCTCGACCAAGCATGATATCACGGCTGTAGGAACCCTCAGAACGGGAACATCAGTCGATCACCGCAGACCTCACGTTTCATCACTTGGCACTTTACGAATCGGATGACCGCCCTCTGCCCATTAGACAGATAGGCTCCATATACGCACACGCGGTAAAGCTTCTGACGTCTGGCCAGGCTCCAACCCGTCGCCGGTCACCATGGGCCGGTCCGCCTCCGCTCCGTGGTGCCTTCTCTCCCGAGTGGCAGACAAACTTCAAGTGTTTAGCGTCATTCTTTAGAAAGAAACGATGTGAGCTAATAGGTAGGCATTGGTCTCGTAGCCCCGGAAAAAGGAGGCTTTCAGACGCGAGCGAACTGCCGTCAGGTTGTCAGAGGCCACACGCAGCACACCTTTTCGTCACTAGGCCGCATGACAGGCAGCCAGTAAGCACGCCTCGCCAGTTGGGTCGATCTCAGCCAGCCATCTTGAATCGCCAGATGTGCCAATGATCTTTCTCAGTGGTCTGCCAGTCTGACGACCTTTGCAAGTACGATCTTGTTGGGCACTGAAACGCGGTTACCGCCGTTATCTCTATTGCTTCTGAATGTCTCACAAGTCTACGACGTCGAACAACGCATTGCTGCCACTGCGTGGTCTTCATGTCTCTATTTTCCTGAGGCTGAGATGTATTGCTGGGATGGCTTCCTCCCCTCATCGTAGCATCAACCCATGGGTATATTCGATGCCGCCTCATCTTGGACGCCTTTGATGTTCGCATAACGATTTTGCTGTCCCTTGTGCTCTTCTCAGTAGAGGCCGCAACTAGAACGCCTGATCAAGAACACAAGACGAAAAAGCTGTCTTTTGTTCCCCGTCCAAAGCACCCGTTCCGTCGATCTATGTGCACCGAGCAGACCGAAAGGCCGTCGTCATCAGTCTGTTGCACAAAGACTATCGAAGTCAACGTCGCAGACCAACATTATGGTGATCCAAACCCAATGTTCCTAAATCTCAGTTCTGGACAACCTGAACATTGTTCTTCTTCTATAATTCCACATTCGTCAGTAATCGTTTACAACCCAGTGACCTCATAGTAGGGGGGAAGTAAAAGGAGCAACGTCTCTTGCATCCAACACGAACCTTCCACTTCTCCAGCTCGTCCTGTTTAGCCTTGTACTGCTTGACAAGGTCCTCCAGGACCTTCTTCAAACCTTCCGAGTTGGTCGTCAGGGCGGGCATGACATCCTTGACCGTCTGCTCCATGAGGACCCCGTTGATGAGGCGGAAGCACTTCCGGTCCTCGGATAGCGGTTGCAGGGTCTCTAGGACGAGCCTGTGTAAAACGAGTCAAGGTTAGAATAAGAATGGTTCATTTTTCATGGGAGGCGGTGTGCCGGGGAGAGAGGGAACGAGGGGGAAGGCGGGAAGGGGGGGGGGGGTTCATCAAGGGTTCGTCATTTGAGTTTCTGAAGGAATGAAGAGTGAAGAGCGGTGTGATGATGGCGAACAGTTGGCG